CTCTAGGTTTGGTCGCAAAGCTTTAGTTCCTGGTACGTGCCATTAGGATTTGTTGTTTTTTTTTTCTCCTGGCAATCGCTTATTACTTTTTACAACCACGTCATTACTCGTCTGTTTAATTTTCTTTTTACATTTTGCTGCTAACCTGGTTGGCCACATAAAGGGCCTTTCACCTTTACATAACGCTTCAAACCAGGAAAATGCTCGGGCAGTTATTACCCAACTTGCTTCACTTTTTTTTTTCTTTTTCCTTTGGACTTTATAAGGTAAGAGGATAAAATCTTTGTCTAAAGATTTGTGCAGCATTTTCTCAGAGTCTCTATTATACACTTACAGAAGGGTTAAACCCCAGTAATAATGACTTTAATCGCCTGCTTGCTTTTTTTGGATAGTTTGTAGCAGCGTCTCGTATTTGTGAGGTGCACTGAATCCTTGGAGGTGCCAGGCCAGCCTTTCAGCAGGGCTCTGATCCTGACAGCAGCAACACAGACATGTGCTGCAGAATCCCAATTAATGAAATGAGGCCAAGCAAGGGCACGTGTGTCTGTAAGGCAAATGGCTACTTTTGCAAGACCAAGTGGTTATACCAGCTTGTATGATGGGAACGTTTCATGTTCATGCTAAAAAGCAGGTGCATGATGCTGTATGGGGTACAGGAAGGGAAAATATTAACTCAGAAGATGTTTCTGAGGCGTTAAAATGTAACATGTTTAAGGGACAGAATAGAGTGGAAAGGTAGTGAGAGATAATGTGTATTTAATGATTAACAATAGGACTTCAGTTGTGGATTTGCTAAGACTATCTAAAAATGACTGTCAAGAAGTAAATGTTGTTCTTCTAGACACTGTTAACACTTACCAACTAAGGTTACCTGTTAGTTTTACTTGAAGTCCAGGCAATTGTAATAGGTTGAGAATCAGATTTTTGTTAAGCTAATGAGTGGGCATATTTATATAAACTCTGAGTAATATTTTTAGATTTAAATAGAATTTCTAATGTTTATAAAATTTCTCATATGTGTCTGAAAATAACATTGTCACCGTAGTGATAAGAAAAGTAACCTGACAAGTTTTCCTTTTGATTTAAAGAGTGGGAGGTTCAGAAACTAAATTATAACTTGTTTCAGAAACAAACCAGGTTTGGATTCTTTGTTTCAGTAGATGAAAGATATCATAGATAAAATAAGATTCATTAGGAAAGATAGATGGAAAAGTGTCTATAGTGGAATTTTGCAGCCAATAATGCTCTTCTTTTTATTTCATTGTTATGTGCTAGATACCACAAAGAGGAATAAACTTTGAGGTTCATTAAGGAACTAGCCAGAGTCCCATATCCTCACCAGAAATTCTTCTAATTGCTCATGAAAGAAGATTAAAAAGTAAATACTTTAAGCATGTAGTGCTGTAAACATGTATTCTACAACAGAATGACATTACCTTCTAACTTATATTCCCTCTCTGTCTTAGGTTGAATTATTGTTCACCTGCTGTGTTTACAATGGATATTTTTGTATGCTTTCATTTATGGTGGAAACACTCCCTGTGTGTCTCAAATTGTTTCTCTTGTATTGTTAGGTCAGTGTACTTTGGCAAACACAGTCATTTTTAATTTGCTGAGTTCAGCAACATGATCATTTACGATCACCACCAGGCTTGCATTTTCCTGGTGTGCGGCTTCTCCCACTAGATTTATAGATTTAGTTTTTAAAGTATTTGAGTAAAATTGATTTCTTATTGCCTGTTGGTGAGACTTATACACAGTATTTACACACAGTATATAGACTTTACCTGGACTTCTTTCATGGAGCTCCTGTACGGTCAGTTGTCATGAAACTTTTCAGGTCCCTGTGTGCTATCTGCTTCTGGGAGGTCCAGTTTCACCAGCTCTTTCAGCCATGCTTAATCTTTACACAGCCCAGTGGGATTTGTGCTGGATCCCTAAACGTGGATCTTCATTTCCATGTTGTCCTCACACTCCACCAGACTTCTTTTATTTAGGAAGACTACTTGAAAATGGGCTTTTTGTTTCTTAACCATTCATCTGTTGCCACTCTTGATTTGTGGATCAGCGATTCAGTCAGTTTCAGGACAACCTGTTGGGATATCATAGTGGTGGTGATTTAAAAGAAGTAAGCAGCTAATATAAGCATTTTTACTTAACAAAGATAACTGTTTTCCTGTAAATATCTAGAGAGCAAAGAAGCAAGCAAGAAAAAAGATGCAATCTTTGAATTCTCCAGTTAGATTGCAGCTGATTTCAATATCCTTTCTGACATGTTGTTTGCTACTCATGTGTAGGGTTGATTTGGAGACCTGATCTAAAGGGTAAGGGTTTAGCAAACCTGGACTGGCCTCTCAAAATTGTTTCACTTAACCTCAGAAGTCCTGCTATATCCCAGTGTACTCACTGTCTTCCTTCTGAACTCTAAATCAAAATTAAAATGGGGTTAGTTTGGCCTGTTGTGTTGGTAGTTTTTTGTTTGTTTATTTAAACATGTGGTTTGGTGGTTTTTAGTTTTTTTCCCCTCTAAAAAGTTTTGTCTTAGAATTTAAGTAGTTCAAGTGACATTTTAACAATTTTGAGCTTGTTCTTCACTTAGAACAAGTTGAATTTACAGTTAAACTTCACAGGCTATGCTCACAAGTGACACAAGGTATGATTACCAAATGTAAGTTTAGTCACTGGATGCTGTTTCATGCTTTCTTCTTTGTCTGTGGGCAGCGTGGTTTGCAGATGCACAGATCCCAGTAGTGCTTGTTGTAGACCTAGTTATGTTCAACACAGACAGGAGCAAATGTTTTGAGAAGGCTTTTCAGGATAAGATCATTTTGATTGTTGTGTTTTGATATTTGAAATTGGTTATATCTAATAGGTCATCAGGCCAAATCAGCCTATGGAGAAATAATTAGGAGAGTGTCCCAGTACAGACTAAGGAATGTCCTTCTTCTAGGAGAACAGATTGAGTGCTTGTTGCATTTTGATCTTTCTTCCATCTCAGTCATCTTTATTCCATTATATGACTGATATTCCTATAGATTTCTCTATCATCTCTATTCATAATGATTTATTTATTTTTCATGGGTACTAAAAGCTAAGGGTTTTTTAAGTGGGTGTTTGTGAAGGTACAGATTTTATCTTTTTGATGAGTCTCTAGATGACTGGTGTAAAATACACAGAATGTAATTTGGAAAAAACAACCTTTTTCCCACATTGGTTTTAGGGACACACAAATTAATTTATTTGCCTCTTTGACATGTTTTTCTTGTGTTATGTACAAAGATAGAAGAGCCAGACGTTTCTTATGCCCATTCTAAAAAATTATGCTAGTGTTTTTTACAGTGTGTTGACCTCCCTAGTTTTAAGAAAGTTTCCTTGTTGTTAATATTATTCCCAGCAAATATATATAGGTCCAAGTTGGTAAGTTTTCAAGCATTAAACCACTTAAGCAAGATATTCTGAAGATTCTGGTAGAAAGGATGTATGAAAAATCAAAGCGTCTTTATTGTACAGTTTGTGGGCTGGCAGCACTTCCATCTGCCTTGAACTAACAGGAATTTTAATTTTGTACAATGAACTGTGTTGCTGCTGAGTGCAAATGAAGCCATGGTGTGAAATTCTAAGAGTCAGCAGTGCTGAAGCAATGTATGGTGAAGTACAGCATCTGTGAATACAAAGCTGCCCTTCTGGGACACTGTGCAAAATGATGTAACTGAGTGAAAAAGCTCTGCAAAAATCTATTTCCCTTGCTGTTAAGCGAGTGTCTTCACTGCAAAACCTTCATGAGGCTTGAGTGTGATGCTTTCTTGACCGTGCAGTGGGATTGTATGAAAAAAGCTGTTGACAATAACAGCTAGAGATACTGAGGTTTTATTTTGCTGCCCTGCTCCTGTGCTTCAGCACTGCTACAAAGAGGGAATACTAAGGAAAGCCCTTAATGCTTGTGGGGTAAGTCTGCAAAGAAATTAGCTTCTTAAAAATTCAGGTTGACTTTTAAAAATGCTTAACTGTTTGTACACTTGCAAAAAGTTCATATAATCACCTGTTTCTTTCCCACAACCTTACCTAAGTATTCCTATCCCTGCAGCAGCAATGTGATGTTAGAGTCTCATGGAAAGCACAGTGGAATAACTTAAACATTTTTGTTCTGGTAAATTGATTTCTGTAATTGCTGAAACCCTCTTAGTTCTTGGCTTTAAAATCTTGTCCTGGTAAAAGTGTTTCTGGAAATGTAAATGCTTTGTGCTGAGTCTCAGTTTTAGGTACCGTGGAATCTGCATAACAAGGAATTAGAATGTAATTGTTGCTACTGAAATAAAATTGTGCTCTTTAATAAATATGATATTGTTAGAGATGTAGAAGCATGTAAGTAAAATTAAATTGCATTAAAGAAAAATTTTAGTGCTTCTGCATTACTACTAGATTAGAAATATTTTATAGTTTGAAAGTACTAGAAATGTTTGATAGTCATATCAACACACTGCTGTGACAGCAGTGATACATTGCTGAGGAGATAAATCAAGAACTAAGCCACCTTTGCTTGTCATTATTATCACTAATATTCCACGCTAATGAACATTGAACTTAAAGCTGTGCACTAAGTCAGTCTGTCCAAGCTGCGATTTGCTTCTTGATTAAATCCTATTTAACAACTTGCCTTGAATTTTTAGAAGAGCATGTATGACTGAGTGAGCTCCTTCTTTTCCTATAACTCATGAGTTTTATGAGAAAACCGAATGTTTTTTATCTTGGCTGTGGATCTCAGTTCCTTATCAGTAACTTAAAAATACAGGTCACATAATCAGCCAGGTCACATTACAGGACTGTAAAGTAGCTTAGTTTCTAAAAAAAGATCCCTCTTGGCTGTGTTAAACTAAAACCATCAACAATAGGATTCAAGTGCTGCTTAGATAAATCACTACCAGACTGGAACAGGACAATAATGCAATGTTATCATGCCAATAAGTTGTTTTGGTTTATTGTTGTTTTTTTTTCCTTTCTCACTGCTAGGCTTCCAACAGGAACATTTTCTTGACATTGTGTCTGGGTGACTCTTGAGGATGGCAAGCAAAGGACCCACAACTTCTACATCAACAAAAAACTCCAGTACTGGAGGGACCAGTGGCAGCAGTAGCAGTAATGGTGCTGGGGACAATACTAATCAGGACAACACTTTTGAATGTAACATCTGTTTAGACACTGCCAAGGATGCAGTTATCAGCTTGTGTGGACATCTCTTCTGGTAGGTACTCCTGCCCCCCCCAGATAGACCAGAACACTGTGTATCTCTGATCACATAAAACCCTATGATTTTCATAGTCCTAGATGTATAATAAAATGTCTTGTATAAAATCAGTAAGGACCATGTTTTGGTTCAGGAGCAGTTTGGTTTTGCTTCTCAACTGTTTTCCTTTGGTTGTGTTCCAGGGAGTCAGTTTCTTGCATCTTAAACCTCCCGTACTTCTGGATTATTTTGTAAAAGCAAACAAACAAGCTGCCCTGCACAGACAGTTCATTGAAACTGCTTGGTTATGTGTGTTATTTTATTTGTCCTGTCTGGTCTAGCGTAGCTATCTTGTGCAGACCTAAATTCCTTTCGAAATTGTGCATACCTAGAAGCCACCTGATAAACTGTCCACCTTGAGTTATTTCATGATTTTGTGAATGTGGCTAATGTTTTAACTAAATGTCCTTTGTGTGACTTATTTCAAGATCCCGAAGTCTCATTACTAACATATTCCTCATTTTCAGCTTAGTTCAGGGATATCTTTTCATGGTATAAGAGAAGATCAGTATAGTAAACACTGAGATTAATTAGGCCTTTGGTGTGGATGAGGACCCAGGAACCACAGGTGATATGCAGAGAATGACATTAGCAACTTAGTTAGATTGCTTAACCTGAAAAGACCAGTGGAGATGAGGCTTGGGCTGTGCTTCCAAAAATTATTTTAATGGGAGGTTATGGAACTGGTCCAGCTGGATTCCAGGATTCTGTTGTCTCCAAGCTGTGCTATACATTTGTCAGATTGAATTGTCAGTAACTGATTCTATTCTCTTTTTCTTTTTCTGCTCTGTGAACAAATTGTCCTGGGAATGCTCACAGTTGGCCTTGTTTACATCAGGTAAGACAGGTTTCCTTTTACTTCATCTTTCATCAGCTCCTGTTGCTCAATAAAGCCCTTGGTTCTCTGGAGTATCCCACTCTTCTCAGCTGTGCTCCTTCCTCTCCAGAGCAATCACAACCTGCTAATGCAACCCCATGTGCAAAACCTTGCAATCTGCTCCTTCAGCAAAACCAAAACTTAGCTTCTATTCTATTTGCCTCCCACTTTGGAATTTCTTAAACATTAAATGTTCCTACTTTTGGTAGGAGAATTACTGTCAGCAGTTCATAGGGGTTTAGTCTGCAGGCTTAAGTGCAGAGTAGAGTTATTTTTGCATATGTAGTGTTTTACATTGTGGTACCATTACAGAAGAGATAGATGAAAAGAGGTTCTCTACACCAGACAGCTAATTTCTTCATATACTACTCCAGTGCCATTCTGACTGTGTGCACATCAGTAAGTGGATCATACCAGAACAACATCCAAAATGCCAAGTCCACTTTGGAGACTGCTTGACCCTTACTAAAATGTTTTGCTCTATGGCTGAGAAATTGCCAAAGTCTCTCTGCCTGGCTGTAGGTGTGGTTTGCATGTTGTTATTTTCATGGTCTTTTACTACTTTTCTTACCATTTTGTTTCTTTTAGTGGCTAGAGACCAGACCAAACAGGCAAGTGTGTCCTGTATGCAAAGCAGGAATCAGTCGAGATAAAGTTATTCCTCTGTATGGAAGAGGTAGTACTGGGCAACAGGACCCCAGGTAAGACACCTAAATACAACTATTTTTTAATGAAAACTAAAGATGAAACTTTAGTTTAAGGTCTTAAGGTGAAACTATCAAAGTGCTTCATTCACAATTGGAAATACTTTGTCAAAAGACAGATAAATCTGGCATTTCTGCCCAATATTTCTGGCTTTTCCAGGGCCTGGGTTTGCACACCTTATTTCTTGTTCAACTGGCAATTTATTTTAATTTGAACTGGGGGTTAATTATCATTACAAGTGGCAGGTGGCAATGAATGTTACCTGACTGGAGAAGCTTATATAAAATGTTGATGCCCTGACTTTGTTATGCAGAAGTGCAGTATCTGAATTCAGCCATGTGATGTGGAAGGCTCATCAGCTGGGTCATCTACCTCCAGCTCTGCTGTAGTGTGGCCCTGTGAGAGCTGCTCTGTTTGCTCTGTCTTGTGAACCAGGCTATTGCAGATACTGTTGTCATATTTCCTTGCACTTGAGCTAATTTCACAACTTCCTGCAGAGAGAAAACTCCACCACGACCCCAAGGACAGAGACCTGAGCCAGAGAACAGAGGGGTGAGTGATAAAACTCCAGCAGATAAGTTGGTTTTATTAATGGTGGCATTTATTCGTCCTGGAGGACATAATGTGTGCATGAGATCTGGGTGAGGATCTGTCACTTGTATTTCTTGCTCATTCCCAGTAGGTTGCTCATGAATAATTGATAGCTGCAGTGTGGCAGAAAACTCCTTTCCTGTAGTGCTGTTAGCATCCCAAACAATAGTATTTCATGAAAACAGCCCTGTGTGACATAATTGGGAATGCTCTTCATACTTCATCTTTCTCCATATAAGTAGCACTTGGCTTTGAAAATTCTTTGTGGAAGTTATTTCCGTCAAACTATACCTGCCATGGAAATATATAATCCATGTGGAACTTACTTTTTTGGCACTGACATGTGCTTCTAGCATTTCTATGAGATATTAGTGTACCATGGCATTACAAGCAAAAGAGTGTAGGTATCTCTTGCATACATGTTAATTTGAAGAGGGATCTGTGTTTGGTTTTTTTTTTTACATATAGTGAATGTAAACAGCAGCTGGCATAGGTTGAACAGCCATGGGAATAGCCAGCAGGACAGACCCCAGTGTTCCTTAGCACAATGGCAGTGAGCATGGCCTGATGAAACAATTGCCTATTTCCATGTAACTCAGCCTAGGGCCCTTGGAGAGCATTTGTGTACCTCATGCTTCAAGCAAACAACTCTGCTGGGTGTGATTAAGGAACATTTCTCTATTGAATGTATTGGGAGCTCAGTTCTTTGTCACTAGGGAGTTGCCTTCTTATTAAATCAGCTACTCTACCTTGGCTAAACCTTTTAGCTGATGCTACCTTAAGTCAGAGGAGCCTGGTGTGAAGAAGACACAGCAGCAGTGGTGCTGCCCTCCTGTTTCCTACAGGTGCAGGACCAGCCATGCACATGCTTTTCTGTCCCTGATGGTTAATGGCAAAATGCTGGAGAAGAGTCATAGTCAAAAGATTAACTCCTCAAATGAAGGATCAACACAGAAATGTCTGGGTTTTATTATCTGAGTGAAATCATCTTTGTCCTCCCACTGAAAACCCAGAGGGTTTTTCAGAATTGGTGTCACTGTTTTAATTCTGAGATGAGAGGACAGTTTGCTGGGTCACAGAACATGACAACTGTGAGCTCTCCAGTTTTTAAATACAGTGCAGCTACTTAGAATGATAGACAGCTGGTTCTCCAATAGAACACAGCTTTTATTCCATAGGATACATCTAGATTCAGACTTCCTTTGACTTGATGTGGTATTTCAGTCTGGATCCCATAGGGGTCAATGTTGCTGCATTGTAATTCTTAATTTTTTCCTCCTTTCCTTATGTCTTGCATT